CAGTGTCTGCCATAATGTTTCCCAATGTCCCTTAGTGTCTCAGTGTCTGCCATAATGTCTCCCAATGTCCCTTAGTGTCTTAGTGTCTGCTATAATGTCTCCCAATGTCCCTTAGTGTCTCAGTGTCTGCCATAATGTCTCCCAGTGTCCCTTAGTGTCTCAGTGTCTGCCATAATGTCTCCCAGTGTCCCCTAGTGTCTCAGTGTCTGCCATAATGTCTCCCAATGTCCCTTAGTGTCTCAGTGTCTGCCATAATGTCTCCCAATGTCCCTTAGAGTCTCAGTGTTCGCCATAATGTTCCCCAATGTCCCTAGTGTCTAAGTGTTCGCTATAATGTCTCCCAATGTCCCTTAGTGTCTCAAAGTGTTCGCCATAATGTCTCCCAGTGTCCCTTAGTGTCTCAGTGTTCGCTATAATGTCTCCCACGTCCTTAGTGTCTCAGTTCGCCATAATGTCTCCCAGTGTCCCTTAGTGTCTCCGTGTCTGCCATAATGTCTCCCAATGTCCCTTAGTGTCTCAGTGTCTGCCATAATGTCTCCCAGTGTCCCTTAGTGTCTCTGTGTCTGCTATAATGTCTCCCAATGTCCCTTAGTGTCTCAGTGTCTGCCATAATGTCTCCCAGTGTCCCTTAGTGTCTCAGTGTCTGCCATAATGTCTCCCAATGTCCCTTAGTGTCTCAGTGTGTGCCATAATGTCTCCCAATGTCCCTTAGTGTCTCAGTGTCTGCCATAATGTCTCCCAATGTCCCTTAGTGTCTCAGTGTCTGCCATAATGTCTCCCAGTGTCCCTTAGTGTCTGTGTCTGCCATAATGTCTCCCAATGTCCCTTAGTGTCTCAGTGTGTGCCATAATGTCTCCCAATGCCCCTTAGTGTCCCAGTGTCTGCCATAATGTCTCCCAATGTCCCTTAGTGTCTCAGTGTCTGCCATAATGTCTCCCAGTGCCCCTTAGTGTCTCAGTGTCTGCCATAATGTCTCCCAGTGTCCCTTAGTGTCTCAGTGTATGTCTCCTTGCAGCCTTTCCCCCATCCCTTACTTCCCTGAGCTGTAGTCTGTCTCTGCAGGGTGGGAGTTGCTGTCTGGACTCTCTGTAGCTGCACCCCTGCAGATCAGTGAGTATAGATAGGCAGGGAGGGATATGCTGGAACTTCCTATCCCTGCCTGTCTCCACACACAGTGACCCCTACTGGCCAGTGCTGGTATTGCGGAGTAATCTCTTGTTTATACTGATAAAAACCAGCATTTGTATTGCCAGTATCACTGCAATATTGGCACCGCCAGGCAGCCCCAAATCCCTAAGAGTAGTGTGTGAAAAAAATATATATAATTTTTTTTTTTTTTAAATCAATGGGCCTAGGCCTGGAGCTGCAGCTCCATCAGCCCCTATGTTAATCCGGCCCTGTGCTTCACTAATCATTAACCACTGCACTACCTTAACACTCAACACTCAATCCTACGGTCACTGACGCCTGGGTGCAATAATATTTTTGGTGCGCCGGGGTGGGCATACCTATATTGCTAACTCCTCCCCTTTACAACCATAACATTTATAACCACACCCATTTTCTATGGAAACAACTTCAACTCTTTGAGCACCCCAACTTCACCAGGTAACACGTTACCCAGTTCCTACAGTGCCAGCTTTGCCCCTAGAAAGCTTATTAGTGCCATTTTTGCCCCCAGTTTACCGGTGCCATCTCTGTCCCAAAATATCTAATCAGTGCCCTCCTTGTCTCAAAAAACCTAATCAGTGCAATCTCTTTGCCCAAATTGCTTATCAGTGCTATTTTTGTCCCAAAATGGCTAATCAGTGCCATCCTAATGCCAAAAGATGTCATAATCTTTGCCACCCAGCTCTGACGCCCAGCACCGATTGTTAGGGGCAGATCCTAACACAAGGGTTGGGGCCTAAGAGAAACGGTGGTATTGTTCTAGTAAGTCTGTTGTAATTGTCTTATTTATTATCAAATCTCCCACTCTTATAATATTGTAAAGTGCTACAGAATTTGTTGGCTCTATATGAATGGCAATAATTATAATAGTGTTGCACTCTCCACCGATGCGCCTTTATCTACAGAACACATGGGTGCTGTGCACCCCACGAACCTGCCCAGGATCAGCTATGCACCTATGCCAATACTGGAAAGTATGAAATCAGAAAGGGGCTGGCCGGCCTGTGAGAGTGTGTACTGATGCCACTTGCTTCACTGACGATTCCCAAAATAAGAAAAGTAAAAAGGGACCTGTGCCCAAAGAAGGGTGTGTACTCCTGTCAAGCTCACTGACTGCCTTCTTGGGCGAACCCAATCAGGGCAGACCATCCATAAAATGCTGCTGTAGTACTATCTGTACATTCCAAGTGTTCTAACACCATTCAGCACAACAAAAGTGCATCTAATGACAAACTGAAGTTGCACTTGCAGGGGCGGGTTCCCTAATGTGCCCACATGTAGGACCCAAAGAACCAATTAAGGATGGAGGAACAGGAGTTTAAAATTAAGGAATAACCTAACAATATTGTGTAATACAAAATATACATAACAGTGAAGTGTGCACAAGGGATCAGGAGATATTTATAAACCTGTAGTCTCATGCTTCAATATAACGTCTCTAGAATCCCTTGCTGGCTTAATTTCTAAATTGTGTATTATAAGAAATTCTGTATCTCTCTCGCACTCTAGCTACCTATGTATTTCTTTCTATCTTACACTCAAGCTCACAGATGTAAGCAGCCAAAATGCTGGGAAGAATGTCTCTGCTTCGAATGGCTTATCGTATATGTAGAAATACTTTTCAGCGTATGTAAGCCTGATTATCTTCAGAGCAGATTTATGGCCCAATAGGGGGGATCTAATTAAAAGCTATGTTAGTAAACACAGAACAGAATAATGAGATAGAGATTTATAGTGACTGGAGAAGGGAGGGGTCGGGTGAAGAGCAAGAAGTCGATAGTGAATAGATAATTAGAGAGAGGGCTTGGAACAAAGAGTCAGCCTTGGAGAGAGACATCAACCAAGAAACCAGAATGCTGAAACAGCAGAGAGAGAATGATGGGAATGGACTCACTATTGAGACAAGAGAATGAAAACAAAAGTACATAGACAAGTGAATGAACATAACAAGATAGAAAGAGATGTATGGAACTAGACAAATAGGCTGAGAGAGATACAGACTAGTAGGAGAATTTATATAAATATATGTACTCGTGGAGTGATGAGAATAGATATATAGACTGGTAGGAGGATTAGGATAGATATAAGGACTGGTAGAAGGACAGGAAGCAATATATATATATGTATATATATATAGACTGGTAGAAGGCTATGTAAAACAAAATATAGACTGGTAGAGGGATGAAACTAAAAGAGAATGGTAGTATAGAGAAATAGACTGGGTGAAGTCAGGAATAGAGGAACAGAGAGTGGAAACATGAAGTGATGGACAGAAATGAAGAACCAGTGTCACACATACCCTGCCGCACCATTCCAGCATCTTGTCTCCATGTTAAACTCAATGCCCTATGGTCACCCTTGCAAAATGTTTTTTTTTGTTGTTGTTGTTATCATTCGATTTACCCTTCCCTTCATTGATAGGAATAATATATGTCGATAAGCAATAAATTCTGCTCCAAAAAATAGATTTCAGATGAGCTTCAAGAAACGAATTGAATTTAAAATGTCCTATGGGAAATACCCTTGATAAATTGGAAACAGAGCAGGCAATTTAATGAATGAGATTTGATTCAGGGGATGCAGCAAGGTTCTGATGCCTGGTGGAAAAAGAGGTTGGTAAAATTGGTTACACATAGTGGAATGACCTCAAGAAGACAAAAATGTGAGATACAAAGAAAACAGAACACAGGTGGTAGAACACGGGGGAAATATATGACATTCAATACCGGAATTCAAATAAATATAATAAGATGATCATGAAATACAATGAAGAAACAGCATGAAACCGAGGCAACATGTTAATATCAAATGCATGTGAGCGGTTGTGCATAATTTTGATGCTTTCCAATATAACATCAGTGGGAAAGCGGAGGGAACCAAGCCTTTTTAGATTATCCTTCATTTTTCATCTGTTGAAGAGGCATTCTTCATGTGACGGGTTCCAAGACAGGGTGGCAAGTTTCAGTGCAGAATGGCTAACACATTGTCCTGAGAATAAGGCACCTTAAAGAGTTATTCCAAGCATCAGTGGTAGTTATGATTGTAGGAGTACCCTGGCTTATCCCCGGTAATGGGACAAACTGTTTTGCAATGTGTGCCTTTTTACCTGGGTGTCCACCGTCGAGTATAATCGAATTAGGAATATGAGAGATTGTGGCACCCCCAGATCAGTATGAAATATCCCTGGGAATGGAGGAACAATTGTTAGACAGACCCAGTTACATAAACAGATACGGTTTTAGATTCCTTTGGTTTGGATAACTGTCACCCTTTCTTCCACCAATGAGCTCCTTCACACAATTTCCTACAGAGCATGCAGAGAATTCCTTCATAGTATCCATTGTTCTTTGCAATGGGTGTCTTAAGAAATTTGAATTTCAGATGATTTACATGTGTTTTTACAAGCAAAGTCTTTTTTTATAACCCGAAAAGATATTGTTTCTTATAACATTTATATTTTCATATTCAACACATAATATTTTCTTGAGTAGAACCTGCCCTTGTTGTTTTAATGATGTAACGGCCACACAATGGTTAACCTATAACCTGACAGTGTTGCTCTGGTGAGCTGAGTGGAAATTTTTGTTCATATTCCCAGGATTTATCATAGTATTTACATATCCCCGGCATTTAAACAATATGTGTTTGTGATGTGTGAAAAATAAAATGAAATGCAGAAATACACAACACTCTATCCTGGAACTCGGTGCCTCCATCTTGATTCCCTGTCAGTTGGTTTTATAAGTGCTGCACTTTGCACCTGGCAATCATCAGAGACAGATCATAGCGAGAGTACTCAAAGTGTGCCCTGGAATAAACTGGATTGTGATGTAAACTGCTACAATTTTAGCATATATTTAAAGAAAAGGTGTTCTACAGAAGAATTCGGATTACTGACAGTGAGTGCTTAAAGGCACACTATAGGTATCCAGACCACTTCAGCTCATTGAAGTGGTCTGGGTTCAAAACCCCAGGTCCATTTACCCTAGAATGGTTTACATTGCAGTTTTGAATTAACTGCAGTAATTACCTTTATGGGTTAACTACACCACTAGTGGCTGTCTACTAGACAGCCACTAGAGGGACATCTGGTTCGTTACGCGTCACGCTATGTATGAGGACATCTAGTGTCACGAGAATCCCCATAGGGCTGTTCTAATGCGAGTGCGGCCATTGCCGCACATTCGCATTTGGTCTACCCCACCAGCTGACATCGGTGGGAAAGAGCAAAGGCAGACTGTGAGCCAGCGCCGAGGGACATCGGAGCTGTAACAAGTTAAGTGCGCCATAGGGAGGGAGGGGGGGCACGATAGGGAACTATAGTGCGAGGAATCAACTTTGTTTTTCCTGGCACTTTAGTTTCCCTTCAACTGTAGGTATAGGGTCCTTTTTTTCCAACTCAATAATAGTAAAAATGGTGTCAACAATTATCAAAACTGTTAGATGGTGACCACTCCAATCATCATCTGCCATTAACATGTCAATAGATATCTGATGTAAAACTATAAAATATGTAACGTAGGGTACAGATAACACCCTACGTTCCTAGGGGTAAAACTCTTATTCAACCCCGAGAATCAAATGCAGTTTATCAGATTTTATTCCACAATTTGAGCCTAATACCTATTAATCCAATCCACACAGATAATCAGAATTACTCAATTTATCCGGAAATTGTGGAGAGCTGACAAAGTAATAGCTAAATTTTATCTCAAAATAGCGACAACAAAAATCGCAACTAAACTATTTATCCAGCTATTCTGACCACTCATTTTCCAAAATTCCTGGTTTACAAAAACCTCTAATCTGGCAAAAGTTTCAGACCTGCAGATTTATTAAAACGTATTAAAATAAAAAATTGTGAAGAACTATCGAGTTTGAAAGATGTGTTAAGGAATGCATAATTCCACCAACTCCCGTAGGTTTGAACTTATTAGTATTTTAGACACCATTTTTATCATGGGTATTGGCATCCACAACAGTAGGAGTGTTAGACATGCCCACGACCTGTTGTATACAAAAAAAGGGAATGAATTATTAATCTATAACCATTATCCTCCGTCTCTAAAACTGGAGGTGTCTGAATGAAAAGTGTATTGTCCCGAGGTTAGTGAATTTACATTGTGTGCCATGTTATGGCACTTGGGAATTAGAGTAGCCAGTCTTGTGCTTTTGTGATAAAAATATTCAATAAATTGCCAGATCATTAGTCCATTATTATGTTATGTGATCTTTGTTGTGACAGAAAAAGGTAATTCTAAATTGCCATCTTGGGAGATATATTGCCAATATGTAACTATGTGGAGACAGATGGGAATGTGGTCCAAGGCAAGATCGTGTCTCTGAAATAAAACATGCCAACTAACTAATATGAAACATGGGGGAATTAACGAAGTGCAAAAACTAAAGGAACCATGTACTGATAATGTTTATAATAATTACTGTTTAACACAGATGATCAGTTATATTTGTTATCTTAATTTTGAATGGGTTAAGGGGTAAATACTGAAATTTAGACAGAACGTTCGTTGTGACTTTTTAATTTTTCTATTTTTTTTTTATGGTCAGATTTTTAATTGTGTCTGATTGGTATATCCCCCATAATGTTAACAAATAATTAAATGTTTTTGCATTTCACCAAGAATTTATTTACCACATAGAGAAATGTTATTAATGTCACTCACAAATATACAGAAAATATTTAGCCCAGAGTCAGTTTAGTCAGAGTCAGAGTCAGAATTTTTCACATTGAAAGCGCAAACAGGGAAAAATTGACAGGGCAATTGTTATTACAACTTTTCTTTTCACCCACCATTCTTTGTTACAGTTATGTTTTTCAGTTATGGCTGACTGGCATATATAACACCAAAAATATTAAAGCGGCACTGTCATGCCGAACTTACCTTTCCTCAGTCTCTTCCTCTTCTCCCCCTCTCTCAGGATCTGTTATTCTTTTCTTCCTGTCTTCTTTAGTTTTCTTTAAAATCATAAGACAAAGTAGGGACTCTTTGCCTTATGGGGGATTCCTCCGCTTTACCAGCTCTGACCAGCGGAGGAGCAAAGTGTGCTTCATTTCCGCTGGTCAGAGCAATTTTCCCATGATCCCTAGCTTTCCTCTGTGTTCCCACAATGCTTCCTGTCATTTTACACAAAACTGCCGAATTGCGTTTTAGCTGAATGAGAACAGTATGTTTGTTTCTTTTAGAACGCAATTCGGCACTTTATTCAGATCGGAATTTAATTCTAATGAATGAAACTCTGATCCTATTCATTGCAGCCGCTTAGTAGATAACTCCCTAATTCCCACGGTATCAGGGAGTTATCTACTAAAAGGCTGAAAAACCTAAATTGGTCTTTCAGCCAACTTTACTAATACTAAGTAAAGATTACTTAGTATTAGTAAATAATACTGTCCTCCCCCCCTGGCCCCCACCACTGCGCGGTGGGTGGGGGCCCCAATAAAACAATAAGGGGGGGGATCTACTGTCCTCCCCCCTGGCCCCCACCCCTGCGCGGTGGGTGGGGGCCCTAATAAAACAATAAGGGGGGGGGACCTACTGTCCTCCCCACCCCTGAGCGGTGGGCGGGGGCCCTAAATGAAACACACCCCCCCCCAATCAAGGTGACTAGGGGTCCCAAGCCCCTAGTCACCCCCCCACCCAAAAAAAAAACCTATCCCCTACCTACCCCCCTCACCCTAAAAATAGTGAGGGGGGAATAAAATAACTAACCTGTAAAAAAAAAAAAAAAACTTACCATTTGATGTCTTCTTTTTTCTAAAATCTTCTTTCTTCAGCCCCCAAAAAGGCCAAATAAAAATCCATCATACCCGTCGCACTTTAAAAAAAAAAAACGAGTGCAAAAAAGAATAAATCCATGTTCGCCCTTCGAGGGCACGCCACGTACTGAGCTCTGCAGGGCGGGTCAAGGCTTATGAAGCCTTGCCCCGCCCTTAGGGCCGGATTAACATAGGGGCTGATGGAGCTGCAGCTCCAGGCCCAGGCCCATGGAATAGGCCCATCGATTTATAAAAAAAAATAAAAAAAAATATTTTTTTTACATTTTTTTTTTCCACACACTACTCTTAGGGATTCCACCTGGCTTTTATTTTATTGGCACAGCCAGTATTTGAGGCTGCCTGTCTGGTGCCAATATTGCAGCGATACTGGCAATACAAATGCTGATATTTTTATCAGTATAAACAAGAGATTACTCCGCAATACCAGCACTGGCCAGTTGGGGTCACTGTGTATGGAGACAGGCAGGGATAGGAAGTTCCAGCATATCCATCCCTGCCTATCTATACTCACTGATCTGCAGGGGTGCAGCTACAGATAGTCCAGACAGCAACTCCCACCCTGCAGAGACAGGCTACAGCTCAGGGAAGTAAGGAATGGGGAGAAAGGCTGCAAGGAGACATACACTGAGACACTAAGGGACACTGGGAGACATTATGGTAGACACTGAGACACTAAGGGACACTGGGAGACATTATGGCAGACACTGAGACACTAAGGGACCCTGGGAGACATTATGGCAGACACTGAGACACTAAGGGACATTGGGAGACACTATGGCAGACACTGAGACACTAAGGGACACTGGGAGACATTATGGCAGACACTGAGACACTAAGGGACATTGGGAGACATTATGACACAGACACATGGGGACACAGTATCCCCATATCTCCCAGCCAGTGTCCCTGGTGTCTCAGTGCTCCCTAGTCTCCCAGTGCCCCCAGTCTGCCAATGTCTCACTGTCCCCATGTCTCCTAGTGCCTCCATGTCTCCCAGTGCCTCAAGTGTCTCAATGTCCCCATGTCTCCAAGCTAGTGTCCCTAGTGTCTGTGGCCCTGGTGTCTCCTTGTCCCCATGTCTCCCAGTGCCCCCATGTCTCAATGTCCCCATGTCCCCCAGTCAGTGTCTCTAGTGTCTGTGTCCTTGGTGTCTATGTCCCCATGTCTTCAAGTGTCCCCTATTTTCCCAGTGTCCCCATGCGTCCCAGCCAGGGTCCCCGAGTTTCCCAGTGTCACTGGTGTCTCCGTGTCCCTAGGTCTCCCTGTGTCCCCAGGTCTTCCCGTCTTCCTAGTGACATGGGGACCCTGGGATACATGGGGACACAGGGAGACATGGGGAATTGAGACACTGTGATACATAGGATCACTGGGAGACCTGGGGACACGACACTAGGGGACACTGGGAAACATGGGGCACTGAGACACTGATACATAGGAACACTGAGACTTGGAGTAATCGACACATGGGGGCACTGGGAGACATGGGGCCACTGGGAGGAATCCATCTATACAGCAGAATTAAACTAAGTTGTTTTTTGGTGATTTTACAGCATTTTCTCTTATATCACTCCTTGTGATTTAAATCATGTGATGTCACCCATACATATTTAATTATGCAAATTAGCAAGGCCGGTATGTTTTTCCAAGAAAGGTGGCAACCCTAACTACTTTTCACATACTCTTACTTAAGTATGGAAACTTAAGAGGGATGTATGGGAACAAAACTTGTGTGGACTGGCTGACAATGAATATAGTTAAAGGGACACTAGAGTCACCAGAAGTACAGCTTATTGAATTTCTTCTGGTGAGTAGAATCATTACCGTCAGGCTTTTTGCTGTAAACACTGTCTTTTCAGAGAAAATGCAGTCTTTACATTACAGCCTAGTGATAACTTCACTGGCCACTCCTTAGATGGCTGTTAGAGATCCTTCCTGGGTCATGGCTGCCTAAAATGCATCCAAACATTCAGTGTCTCCTCCCTCTGCATGCAGACACTGAACTTTCCTCATAGAGATTCATTGATTCAATTCATCTCTATGAGGAGATGCTGATTGGCCAGGGCTGTGTTTGAATCATGCTGGCTCTGCCCCTGATCTGCCTCTTTGTCAGTCTCAGCCAATCCTATGGGAAAGCACTGTAATTGGATTAGGCCATCACTTCTAATGATGTCAGCAGACTGCTTGTTTTTCTGAGTCTAACAGCATGCAGAGTTACAGCTTCAGGCTTGAATACAGTAAGATTTTGCTATATTTATGGAGGAATGAGGGGCCCAGAGGGACTAGATGGTGGTGTTAACACTATAGGGTCATGAATTCATGTTTGTGTTCCTGACCCTATAGTGATCCTTTAAGGTAATGCTTACTTTGGTCTCTCTAACACTGTGGCATGTTCCCTTTCTTCTACACTCACTACATACAGCTTTTCTCTGTCCCAGACCATATACCAGGAGCTTCTGTCTGCTAGTAAGAAGGTAAGGAGACAAGTGGACCAGCGAGTGCTAGGGGACAGTCCTTAGAAAGCGTTAAGCGAGCGCATCATTAGATGCATTTATGCCAAGATCAGGGTGCTGTCTGCATAGTATGCCCTTAGTTGGCCAGCTGCATGATTGGCAGGCAGCCTGACATGCAGTCATGCCAGGCTGGCCTTCTAATTCTTTGAGCAGACATGTCCTCTTTTTGGGCATGTTCGCCCCTTTTGGCAG